GTAGAGACCTGCTGCAAAAGCTATCGTTGTTGGCCGTGACGAATGGTACACAAGGCCCGGCTTCAGGGCCGGCGGCTCAAAAGATATCGAGTCGAGCACGTCAATGATTGATAGTCAGGGTCCCCCCGCGTGCCTGAATCCCCGAATGCGATTTGCCCCGCCGGAAAGGTGGGGGAGTCTGTACATATTTTTTCCTTCCCTTTGGTGACTTTCTGGAATCGGACTGGTCTTGTTCTGGTCGCTCCGGATAGGACCGAATAGACTGACGCGGAGCTCAACTCTAAAATGCTGAGATGAGGTTCATGGTATGGTGACTTGGTTTCTGGGTAGCTTGATTTCGTGGCCATGACCATAGCTAGAGACTTTGGGGGGTAGCATACTAAGTGATGAGGTCTATCTCAGTAACCACAGATTCAACTTGATACATCTTTCTCGAGTTGCATGGACATGCCATGAGCTTCGTGAAGACCGGCCATATCAGTGACATTGTGGGGGCTCAGCGTGACGCGCGGGGTTCTGGAGGGGAAGCTGGGGTGTCGGGGCTTCTGGGACTACCTTGCCATGTTTGCGGTGAGGGCCGAGGTAGGTAGGTACCTGGACCTAAGACAAATGGAAAGACCGAAATATTACAATGGTTAAATTTGTAGAGGGGATCATGGAGGAAGAAGACAAGCACCGCTGGGGGTTTGCAGGAAACAGAAGATGGGTAAATTCGATCTTGATTCTCAACAGGCCACCAGCGCCTGCCGCACCTGCTCCTTCGCATTGCTGCAGGCCAAGAGGGGTCGCTTGTTCTTCCGGGACGAGCAGCGTGCCCTGATGATTCTGATATCACTACCAATCTTATCTTATCTCTGGTCTTATCGATTACCGGCACCTCAGGTTCGCATCGTACTTCATCTCAAGGTACCTGATCACGATGAACCACACAACACGTAATCCGTGGAGCTCCCGGTCATCTTCCATTTGCAATATTTTCAAATTTTTCCTCTTTTGAGATTTCTTTCAATAACACCAATGGTGTCTATTTGACCGGCTGACTCCGGGGAAACCCTGGCATAGTGAAATGTCTCTAGCAACGCGGATTTGTTTCCAAATTCTGCCCGGATCTCGTCGTCCAGTGACGAGTCCATCAGTCTCCGGGTAACCATATCGTGGTATCTTGAATTGCCTGCACTCTTTTAGATTTCGGCTAATACTCTATCAGGTAATGCATGGTATCGATTACAAATCGATCTACTCGCACTGGACGGCAATTAGCCTGAAGATCCTGCCAAGTGAGCTCTAAATACATTACCTCACTTCTCCCTATCAACCACCCAAGTGGCCTTTCACAGCCTCGCTTCCTTCAGGCTCTACTTGTTCTGCATCAATTTATTGTCTCGTTCCAACAGTAATGGCACCAATGTTACTCTACGAGTCTGACTCATATTGGCTGTCCACCATCCCTCGTCCGACCCTTTGATCAGCCGGTCAGCCGCCCCTTTGGAGAATCTACCCCCTCGCCGTTTACTCAGTGGCCTACCTAATTTGAACTCCGAGACAAGTGTCTGCTTGGGACCTATGCTATAATCTCTCAGCCATCGCTTGGTACTCTTTCGAGAGTCGATACCTACCTGCTGCCCCTCCTAATGTAAGGCCTGTAGGCAACTTTCCACCCATCGGTGTGGCCTCCATCTCCCGAATGATTGCCTGCGATGATCAGATCGTCGCTATTCATGGCGTTTGGGTTCCAATCTTCAAATGGCGCTATATGGCCGCCTTCGTTTCCAACCCGTTTTCCCCTCTATGGTAAAGAAACATGACCGGCGTCTCGAGAGCATTCATCCGCCTTGGCAAATAAATGGCTTTCAGATCTTCATATTGGCAACCATCTTCCCCTCCCTTCTCGTACCATATTTTGTGACAATGTTGTTGCACCCGGAGTGTTTGGTCTCATATCAGTCTACTATTTCCATACGACATGACTTCCTCTTTCGTCGCTACGCAAGTCGACATGGATGAATGGGTGATTGCTCCGAACCACCGTTGATTATGGCAAATGCTGGCGTTAGCCGTCGGCTGGACTCCACTAAAAGACTTCAAACCCGCTCCTAGAGAGTCATCATCCTCATCAGAATGTTCCCATATTACCAAGGCCTATTTGAAGACGAGAGAGTGAATCGACCGGCAGAGATCATGCGTTGGTTTACCACTGCACTCAGTGCTGTGGCGCTCATTAACTCGGGTAGGTTTTATTACCACTCGTATCTTAGGGGCTTGTACTAATTCATAGGACAGTAGCCATCGCCCAAGACCAGTCAACATACTGCGACAGTCTAGGGCGTTGCTTCGCTTCTTATACCAACGCAGGCGGCATTACTTACGGCATAGCCATACCTGAAGGGCCTGCGACGGGTCAGCCATATGAAGCCATTGTTCAGATCACTGCCCCCATCGAGGTAGGATGGGCTGCCTTAGCCTGGGGCGGCTCTATGACATACAATCCCTTAACAACAGTATGGGTTAATGGCAAAGACGTGGTCGTCTCTTCTCGAATGGCATTGTAATAACCCAATTCGTTCCATGGAAACCGCTTGATCACTGACAATTACTAGTGGCTACTTCACTCCTCCACCTTACGAAGATGCCGAGTACACCGTTCTCCCCGGCACTGTCGTCAATGATACGCATTACTCCGCCACGGCTCTATGCCGAGGTTGTACATACTGGGCACCATACGGAAACGATCCAACATCTTTGGACCCCAACGGAGAAAACTACTTGGCGTTTGCTTACTCTGGCGTGCCAGTTTATGACCCGACTGCCAACGACACAACTTTCGGCATCCACGAGCGCGCAGGACACTGGACGCACAACTTCCGACCGGCTCAGGCAGTCAATTTTGAATCTTGGGCAGCGGGCAATTCTGAAGGCGAAGATCCGACCAGGGCTGTTACCAAAACGACGCTGCTGACCACCTTGTCGACATCCACTTTGCATAGTACCACGACTCCCAAGACCAATGTCACCAGGACAGGCGCTTCACTCAGCAGCGCAACGGCCACTGTCTCATCTCCGCGTTCCACTTCTATATCGTCCTCCATCGTATACAGCGCCCCTGTGCCTCCAGTCCCCAACTCGTGCTCTGGCGTCAGCGCCTTCCGGTTCGGATACCAAACTGCGAGTGGCTGGAAAGCCGTTAAGCTTGCTGGATCTCTGACAGGCCCCCGCGGATTGGTTGTCGACTCCGAGGGCAATTTACTCGTCGTACAATCGGGCAAAGGTGTCACGGCTCACACCTTTGGGGTTGACGGCTGCATCTCTTCCACAAAGACCCTGATCAGCAACCCCTCGCTAAACCATGGCATCGGCTTGACGCCTGATGGTAAGACGTTGTACGTCACCTCCATGACAACCGCATGGTCTTATGTCTACGACGCAAAAGCTCAAAGCGTGAGTGCGCAGACTGTTGTCGTCAAGGGAATGCAGCAGGGAGGTCACCCAACGCGCAACCTCGTCATTCCGCCGGCAACGCCGCATCTCCTCGTCATACAGCAAGGCTCTTACAGCAACTTTGACTATGAATCTCTCAACAAGGCAGTGGCACGTGCTGTGGTCAAAGTATTTGACATGCGCAGTGTGCCATCCGGAGGTTATACATACGCCTCCCAGGGGTGGTTTCTCGGATGGGGCCTGCGCAACGAAGTAGCCCTCGCAGCGGACGGAAACAATGCGTACGTCCAATTTGCCTTTCTTTGTTTTTCTGGTGAACGCATGTAAGCTGACAGTAATCGTTCAAGGATTTGGGGAGTGGAAAACAGCGGTGACGACTTCGCCCGCACAGACAACGGCCAGAGCTACGACATCCACAACGACAACCCAGCAGAAGAGCTGAATTTCCGTAAGTCGCCACATTCTCCAGTCAAGCAATCCAAGACGACTCACAACTCGTTCAAGTTGGCGATCCTTCTCAACCGAACGAACAGTGGTACGGGTACCCAACCTGCTTCACTGTCTGGGAGCCGTCCGTCATCAAGGACAAGACCTTCAAGGTCGGGCAGCAGTTCGTCGTCGCTCCCAACAGCACCTTCAACGACGATACTTGCACTCAACGCTCTGTGGCACCCAGACTTTCGATCCAAGCACATAGTGCACCCATAGGCGCCGTTTTCGACAGCGCGTTCCAAAATCTGTACGTCACGCTGCATGGCTCGTGGAACAGGTCACCTGCTACGGGATTCAAGGTGTCTGTGGTGCCGTTCACTCAGCTCACCTATGGTGTATATGCTCCGGTTGCCGCTCCAGACTCTAAGACTGGTTACACTGATGTCTTTTGGAGCACAAACGTCGGAAGCTGCACGGGGTCGACCTGTTTTAGACCTTCCGGCATTGTCTTTGACAAGGAATTCTCGAGGTTGTTTGTGGCCAGTGACAACACCGCGGAGGGTGAACTCTTCATGCTCGTCAAGTCTTGAGACAGGTACAACTCTTTGCTTGTAGAAGGAAAGCCGTGCAGACCAACTTCAAGATAACCAATCGCATAACTGAAGTCCATCTGTGACAAGCTAAATGTCCTTGCTTCATATTTATCCACAGACTGTGTGAATTCAGGCTGTGATCATCGTACCATCCACCACACGCAGCCGAAGAGGCGTAGTAATGAGATGACCATCGCCAAGTTATCATACATTGTTCTCATAATTAGCCTGAATCTCCATAGGGGGCTGCCTGGATAAAAAGATGAATTCCTAATCTGGCATACGATGTACCCAATTATATAGCCTTCAACGGAGTAGCCCATCAGCATACTTGAAACAAAAGATACGATTGCGACAGTGCCACATAGGTTCCAGCTGGTGCGGCTAGTTGATATGCATTTTATTTATCTTGATTTAAATTGAGTGAGCATTGACCAAGAATGAATGTCTCGTGATCAACGTTTCTTGATGCAAAACTCGCATGACAAGGAAGACCATAGGCAGTGTCTCGTCATCCGGGGACAAGATCGTTGTCTGAGTTTAATCACGATCCTGCTCTCTGTTTATACCAGTCGCCGATTCTACGGAGTCGCGGAAAGGAGCATCATCTTGCAAGAGATGTTCAGAGATATCTATCAATTGGTCAGGCAATCAGTGTGATGGAAGACAGGGGTGTTCGACCTACTATCGAAATCACTCCGTCTTGTTTCAATGGCACCGAAGAGCGCGTCCATGTCCTCCAGCTCCCGACCCTTGGTTTCGGGAAAGAACGCATATATGGCCTATAGCACTGATTAGCATTTAGGGATTTCATAGGCAATAAGTCCGAGGTTTTCATACCGGAATGCAGATAATGTTCACGACCATGAATATGAAGTAGATGTTACTGCCCATATATCCGATGCCCGCAGACCACACCATAGTGACGATAGAAGAACCGACAGAGGCACCAGCGGAGGCGAAATTCAAGCCTCGTGCTCGTACCGAGGTGGGAAACATCTATAGTCATGTCGAGATCAGTGGTTGTCTCAAGGCACGGAAGAGGGCATCATCGAGGGGTACCTCTGTGTTGTATACCCATGCCGTTGGCCCAAATCCCAGAGAGAAGCCAATGACATATACAAAGATGAAGGCCACGCAGATTATATCGGTGGCTGGGCTTTTACGCTGAGGGTCTAGAAGAGGCACGGCTCCATTGATCTGAGAGAAGCTTGTCAGCAATTGCAGTCCTTGCACACGGGTTCCCGTAACCTTTCACCTACCAGCAGTGAGAAAGCCATGATGATGCAACCAGCAACGAGGCATTTCCTCCGCCCAAACCGATCAATGATAAACATCTCGAGAACCGTGAAACCTATCTTGACCGTTGATTCGGTAGCGCTGATTAGCAACGCAGTATGGGAGAATATGCCATGTTGCCTCAATAGCCATGGGAGGAAGTATTTAATAGCAGTAGCACCACAACTTGAGGCCATGAATTGTAGCAGGGTCGCTCGCCAGAGACGATTAAACAGTGGCTTTTGTCGGAATAAAGAAAGCCAGTTGCTGCCGGATTGATGGTACTCGTCGACGCTCTTGACGATGGCTGAGAATTCATGCTCAATTTCGTCGTCGTCGAAACTTCCCTCGCGGAGCCAGCGAAGGGTCGAGCGTGCCTGGTCTTTCCTTCCATGTTCAACAAGCCAACGGGGACTTTTTCAGTGTTAGTACAAACAGTCTTCTTTGAATTGGAGTACTGACGTTTCGGGGACCCAAGGCAACCCAAGCCCAAAGATCATTGCGGGGATTATCTCCAAGAGGATAGTTAATCTCCAGCCATAGAAAAGGCCTGCATCGGAGGACCAAAATCTCATGAAATATCCAACCCTGTCATTGTTAGAGGTTTCTCAGATGGAGGCAACGTTGTCTTAGTTTACCAGAAACCCAGCGCTATGCCAGCGATGAAGCCGACGTGGTTCAACGTTACAAAATGGCCGCGCTTGTGTGCTGGCGATATCTCACTAGAAAACCGATCAGCGCCCGCGCATTGGAAGTGAGCTTAGAACGTCTTACGCTTGGTATAACGGCACTGAAGTAGACACGACGGCAACTCCAACGCCACTGATGAGTCTTCCAGCGAGCATGGTGCCGCGAGCTGTACTGCCACCACTTGTGGCTTGCAGTATGGCGCCAAGGCAAACGAAAGCTGTTCCCGACAAGGCGGCATACCGACGACCAAGCCAGTCAGTGATCGGATGGGAAATGCAGAGATAGCTGATGAAGGTTCCAGTGTAGTAGACGCTGACTACGGTTCCGATTAAAGCGCGTGTTGGCTGATGTAGAGCTTCGCGCCAGCCTGAACTGACTATCACTGAAGACAGTATGCCAATGTTGTATCTGTATTGAGTAATTAGGATCCACCAAGCTCTTGGAACCACCAGATGGCTTAGGGCCACGGTTCTCTCATCAACACCCAACGACATTTCGTGTCTTCGATGGCTCGCCATATTTGGTTGGCTAGGTGGAGTGGAGGACGAACTTACCCCCAGACAGATGCGCCAATGCCGAAAAAGATGCAGAGAAAATAGAGACGCGACTCGCCAGCGCGTAATGAAGTACTAAGCCAGGCCATATCGATGGGCGTAAACTTTGAAGGCGCGGTTAGAGGGGTAAGCGGCCGGTGGGCACAGCAGGCCGGAGGTGCGCCTTGCGGCAAGGAGTTGTTATCGATGGCTTGTCAGTATTGAGGAAGGCCTTTACTGACAAACTTGAATGTAGTTTCAACACAATTGGAAGCGGGGAGATGTAGTTGGACGGCTACTTGAGACATTATGCAATTCCAAGGTGAATCGCGGGGTCGCTTGGCCGAGACAGGTTGGATCATCTCGTGATTATGTAAGACACCTTCATGCACCACCCGCTAACTTACTTTTACCATTCAAAAGACAATGTTTTTACTGCTTGAGTACTCGGTGAGTTTCCTGAAGAATAGTCCTGATCAGCACAAGTGCTGTGATTTCGTTTGACATAGAGAGCATAGGTTAAATCAACGAACATTTGGGGACGGTTGAGACCACCAACCCATGGGGAAGCTGCCCCTCTTCAGCTGATCAATATCCGCTCTTGGAGGTAGAGCGTAGCCGCACACTCTATGCGCCATGATAATGAAAGCGAAAAGTCTACTACATTATTATCTACTTGGTGATTCTGACCTGAGCGTGTTGCCGATCTCAAACATAACTCTTTGAATCAGGTGTAAACCACCTGGGGCCTCAAAATTATGTACCGCCACCGATGTTACAGCCAGCTGTTGCCACAACAGCGGTCCTCATCTGAAGTCATGGCGGCGCATGGCCGCTTATGGCGTATCCATCATTCATACATTAATTTTACAACGAGGCTTTTCCTCCTTACAAACACACACTCTATCGAGGCACATACCCCGAGAAGTCGTACATCCCATTATGATCCTGCAGTCCCGAGTTCCAGTCGAGGAACTGGGGCTGCCCATTGGCGTCAATCACAGGCGCATACATGCTCAAATTGCTGGGTGATGGCCCTGACGTCAGCACCATGGTGCCATCATGGTAGCCCCAGAGTTGAGCGGCCATCTCCGGCGTCATCCCATTTGCCATTGGCATGAGTTCCGCCTGTTGGTCGAAGATTGGCGGCTGCTGAGACAATTGCTGCTGCGAATGTGACTGCTTCTGCAGTGGGGGAGAGCATCCGAGACCAAAGTCGGATGCGGGCAGCTGTTCTATTAGGGGCTGCAGCGTCCTTGGCGGAGCGGAGCCTCTGAACTCTTCCGGGGTTGATGACGCCCTTCTGACTGTTCGAACACTGTCGGAGTGGGCGAGCATACCCTGCCCGTCGAATCCGCCTCCAGGGAAGATGGCGACAGACTGGCTATCTTCCGAACCCTCGTCGACGTCTACACCCGAGTCTGGACGAGGCACAGTGCGAGTCAAGTGGCGTGGGGCTAGGAGGCGGGACGGTGATGGCTCATTCTTTCGATTGCTTCGGTTCGAATAGGGCATGTTCTGTGCGTTGGCGATGCACTGTTCAATGACCTGGATGAACTGATTGCGATAGATGTTCCCGATGGTCTCCAGCGCTTGGGGAGTCATGCCCTTGTTTCGCAGGCTATCCTCGACATCTTTCAGACTGTTCATGAACTGGTTCTGCAGCTCGAAATGCTCGATAACGGGGCAGAAGTCTAGTCGGCGTTAGTACCTTGGGGTTGGAAAAACTGTGTTGGACGGGAGTATATGGCATACCGAAAGGTTGAACCCTGTAGTCATCGTCGTCAGGGAACAACAGGTTCCAGATCTCCTTCCATTGTACCTCAGTGCTCATGCCACTGGCTCGCTTCCTACTGAGAAGCTTCGTCATTGTAGGGCCGTCGATGCCGGACTCTGGGTCGTGGTCGGAAACGTCACACATCTGCTCCTTTGGTAGACGCTGGTGATCCCTGAGATCCTTCTTGCTGGGGAAGTCTCGGTTGCAGCGGTCGCACATGAAGGATGAAGGGTCATTGCGCTTATGTTGCTTGACGATGTGTTGCCTAGCAAGCGTCAGAGCACAGCTCGTGAGCTTCCAAGTGTCGGATACTCACCTCAGCTCGGCAAACTTGGGGAAGTAAGTCATTGCACACGAATGGTGCTCTCTCACGTTGAACCTATGCGGGTTCCTCTTGCGAAACGGACAGCTCAGTCGAAGATCTCCCTCTGCCTCTCGTGGTGTTTGTCTGGCCCTCTTGAACGGCACGCTTGAGTCTCCATCGTCATCCGTCAAGTCATCGCCATCATCATCCCCATCTGCACGGCCGGTGTCGCCCTTCTTGCGCTTGCCGTTTTGGGACCCTCGACCTGACCCTGATCTCCGAGCTAGAGGCAAGGAACCATTAGACGACGTGGATTGAGTGTGGGTTAGTTGTGTTCCGGCGGGGAATCCATTGAAAGCAAATCTCCCAATGTCTTGGATAAATCTGAAGACGAAATGGCGGAGGAAGGCAGGTGGCATGGTAACCTCTTCCAGCTCTACACCGTAAGTGACTTGTAAGACATAGTCGAGAACTGCATCGGCTTCTTCATTAGAGAAGTCAATGGGTGTTGGGGTGATGGGTTCCCATGCACGCGAGAGACGATCGGAGCCGGAGTCGAAGCTCATCCTCTCATTGAGGGGCCGGGGTGGCACCCGCTCTTCGCGGGGTGACTCGGGCGTTTCGTCCGGCGACGGCGGCCTATCCTTGGCATAAGCATCGCATGTGGAATAGCACCGCTCTCATGGATCAAGAATTACCTTGGGGTGCCCGCCGTGTGAGGCAACTCAGATTGCTCGTCTTCATCCGCCTCGATGATGTCCATCCGCGGCAGTGGATCCTCCTTGTGACCCGCACCGATGGATTCCGGATACGCCGGAAACCTCTCGCCCATGATGGAGTCCACGAACGTCGATCCCGAGTCGCATGATTCTCTGTAACGATGTCCGCTCGTACCGGACCGCGACGCAAGAAACGGTGTTGGTAAGCGCTCAGGGCCATCAATATCAGGAGTCGTAGCCCTTGTAAAGGTCGATGAGGTGGGGGACATGGGCATTGAACAGGTCGTCGCTGAGTCGGGGACATGAGTCGAGCTCATGGTCGATGAGGTCGGCGACCGGTCACGAAATGTCTTCCCATAGACACCTGAGATGATCTTCAGGCCCTCGGGACATTTTTGCTGGTGGTGCACAGGTTGCGACAGGCGAAAGTGGTGTTCAAATGGTGGTGAGTGAACTACTTCCTCGATTTTGGCATGCGAGGCAAAGGTTGAATCCCGGTGACGTGGCTCCCGAGGTCGGATCGGGATCTCGACCGTGAACGACTGCTCGTCGCTCATCGTGACTGATACTCTTTTATCTGCTCGAAGTCGCTGATTCTGAAATGCTGACGCGTCTTCAGTGAAAGCAGAGCCCGGAATGACACTTGTACCCGATTTACTGGGTTGGCCTTGACATTCAGTTCTCCGGCTGCCCTTGCTCAAGAAATCCCTTCTCGAAACCCGTCCGTCACTTGTCGTTATGATGGCGATGAGAACAAGGCACTGAAAATGATTAACGAGAGTGATGAAAGAAGACAGAAAAGCGAATTGAATCGAGTCTTGGGATGCGACACTCGAAGAAGGGTAATTCCCCCTCGGTCATGCTGTTGCCTCCAGACTCAGCCCCCCAAACTATGCGGAGTACTTAGAGTGCGAACCATCTCAGCATAACAAGGGTGGGCTCAGCTGGAGGCTGTGATTGGATCATGACCACGACCGTCGTTGGCGCAAGAAACAAGTTTCTATCATTGGACAATGCGGGCGTGACGGACGAGGATGCCTCCCCTATTTCTGGCGCGCAGCTTGCTGCAGGCCAGCATACCCCCTTTAGAAGAACTGGACCTCTGATTTGCTTGTGGCCGGTGCCGTTCTGCTTCTCTGACAGTGGCGGGCAGGCAGAATCAATGTTTCTACCAGTGTGGCCTGTTAGGGATATACTCATAATAAACCTAGTCTCACTTACAACGGTCCAACGAAACGTGGTATTTCCCTAACAGCCACGAACGAGATCAGCATGCTTCGTCTCAGGGCGCCGACCCAGGCGTCCGATATATCCCAGCACTGGCACCGTCAGTGGGCCTGTTTGACTGCCAGAACTGGCAATCAGCCCTATGAGGATCGCGTCTGTCCAACATTGCGACTCCATTAATGCACGCCATCGCGACTTGGTGGATGTCGACACTCGTCTGGACCTGAAGCGTCCCAGCTTCAGTTGAGATTAGATCGGCCAGGGTTCTCTGGTTGCCCCGTCGCAGGCCGGCCGCCGGTCCTTCGAATTTGCCCTGCCATTGGATAATGGCAACAACTGGTCCATTGCGCAGGCGGAGTGTATCGTCTACTCAATGTCAGAAGCGGAGCCAATGTCGAGAAGATGCTAATTCAACCTCCTTCGATCCTCCCTTGGTCTTTAGGTATGGAATTGAGCCTGCAATTGAGCCTCACGAATTCATCATGGTGTTATTATAAGAGCGGGATGGTAAGATGAAGGTCATGGCAGTAACGAGGGCAACTTTGGTCCTTCAATTCGCAAGCGATAGGAAGGCGTAATCGCGAAATCCAACTGCGGATAATTCTCAACCTAACCACCAAAGCCAATTGCATCGTGACCAAAACTAGACCTGTACTTTTCTCCCTAAAATTGGCCGACCGCTACCCCAGAGTCGATCCGAACCGAGCGCAAACCTTGAAACTCTCGAGGAAAATAGTCAACGAATATGTCACACTCTAAAGCCAGCTCAAGCCAGAGCCTAGTAGAGTATCCCACCGGGTATGAAACATATCAATTTTCTGCCTTTGAGCAACCGCACTGACGATGCAATATCGACAGATCTTCCCGTGCCGCTCCCTATAGTGTCGATCGTTTCATGGTCGAGTCATCTTCCTGGACACCATTGAGCCAAAGAACCGGCACTCCCTGCACGACTTACAACGACCTCATGCAATCAGACCTCGACGGCCTATTACATCAAGCGAAGCAGCGGCCACGGATAGCCAATAAATGAAAAACGAGTGAAGGAAGTCAAGCAATTGTACGATACTGCATTACTACTCGCTCACTTGGTCGCCCCAAAAAGCATCTCGATTGCAATGCATGTACAAAGGCGTGGAGTATCAAAAGAGCATGATTCCCGCGTCTACGCGAATGGTAACGGAAATATCGGAGCGTTGGGCTTGTTGTATTCTTTGCTGTGTCACCTCGGAGACGCAATGAAGGCTCTCGATGCATGGCAAGACGATAGAATAGTTATCTTGACTCGTGAGATGGCAGGCCACCTCACCCGGGTATGTAGACTGCTATTCGCAGAATTATGTACGATGAAAGCATATGTGCTGTTGACCACAGGTCCAATATATACAGTGAAGACTCAAAGTGTTTGTTTACGCATCTCAACTCCATCTCAGATGCAATGCCTACTCTGCTGTGTCTCAAGCAGGAACATGTAGGCCTTTGATACCGGATATGAACCAGCATGCGTTTACTGGAAGAGCTCAACGGTGTCGAAGATCTAGGACATGAGTTAGCATCAATACTTATAATTCGAATGATCTCTAGTCAAAACTTACGACGCTGGGGCTCAGGTAAGTGTCACCACTGCTGCCGGAGATGACATTGATGGTGATGGTGTTGGCTCCTGAAACGAGGGTGCCGGCAGGGATGCTGACGTCGTAGACCTCGCCGAGGCCGCGGTACGCACCACGAGTAACGCCACGAGAGTCAATCTTGGTGGGCGCAGCAGGGGCCGGGCCGGTCCAGCTGTTCACCTTGGCCTGGGGGCGGCCACTGGCAAAGGCAAGGGTGGTGGCGATGCGGAGGGTGGCAGCGCCAGGGGCGGAAGCGAGGTTGAACTTGATGGTGACGGGGTTGTTGACGGCGGTGAAGATTGCCATGGGGAAGTCGCTGACGGCAGATGTGCCGACGGTGTAGGTGAGAGGACCCCAGCTGCTCATGCGGCTGTCAGAGGGGTGCATGCGGAGCTGCTTGTCGGCGTTGCGGAAGCCGGTAGGCTGGCCGTCGTACTCGCCAATCTTCCAAAGGGTGGTGCGGGCAGCGAGGGTGCTGGCGATGTTGGCAGTGGTAGTCTTTCCAGCGGAGACGGTGACGGAGCTAGTGGCCACCTTGAACTCGGTCTGGTAGAGGACCATGGTGTAGGTGCCGGGCTTCATCAGAGGGGAGGTAAAAGCGCCGGTGGACGAGGCGTAGGTCCAGTACTGGGCGTTGGCGTTGTACCAGTGGACAACACGCTGGAAGCTGCCGGTGATGCCGGAGGCGGTGCCGGAGACGGTGCCGCGGCCGGAGGCAGCGACGTAACCCTTCAGGCTGAGCTCGCTGAAGAAGTCGTAGTTGAAGTCGGTGTTCTTGGGGATGCCGGAGCGGGAGAAGGACTGGACGTAAGGGCCGTGCAGACCCATACGGTAGGCCTCGGTCTGGGCGTGGTTGCTGTTCATGTAGTTGTACAGGTTGGTAGAGTCACCAGCGTTGTTGGTGTTGATGTCGCGGAAGAAGGGGCCGCCGGAGGAGAGCTCGAAACCAGTCTTGGGCTCGACGGAGACGCAGACGTGGATCTCCTCGGGGCTTGTACCGTAGACACAGCGGACCTTGTCATCGATGAAGCGCTCGCTGGAGTAGAACTTGGATCGGGTCTGGCCGCTGACGACGAAGACATCGGAGCCCTCGACGGTGGAGCTAGAGCCGGCGGTGGTGGAAACAACGCCGAAGGGGTATTCGCTGGGGAGGGTGTCCTTGTTCAGACGCGAGATCCAGCGGAGCTCACCAATATCTGGCTCTGCGGTAATGTAGGTCGCCATGTAAATGTTGGCCTCACCCTCCTTGACAATGAGGTAGTGTGTAAGAGTCGAGGTGGTGCAGGTCACCTTGATGACCTTACCGGTGCTGGCCGTGATAGTGGTGGCCTCGACGGTGGCGGTTCCGAGACCAGAGCTGATGTGGCTGCCCTTGCTGGCATACTGAAGCTCGTTGCCACGGTACTTGATGGAGTTGATGTCACAGCTGGACTTGGAAACTTGGAAGACGAGAGTGTTGGATGAGCCGGCATCGACAACGAAGTTGCTACCCGAGGTGGTAACGCCGAAGGCGGCCAAAGCAGAGGAGGCGAAGGAAAGGATGGTGAAGAAGAAGACCTGAAGAAGAGTGTTCAACGCCATTTTGGCTGTAAAGGGGCTGCCCTTGCCTGGCGAACGAGAGAGAGTGAGAGGGCGAAGTTGGAATAAGGTCAAGCAGTCATAGGACAAGAGAGCCTTCTCATCCTGGGTTTCTAGAACGAGGGTGATCGACTTTGTTATAAAGTCAAGAACAGTTCGTCTGGACTTGGCGCTTGGCACCCGGCCAGCGCACATCTTGGGAGGCCGGGACAATTCCTCGCCATGCTCAGTGCTGAAGGCCCCTTGGTCTCTTTCGCGGGATTCCAACTTCCAAGAGCGGGCGTCCGCCGGAGAGGTTACCTCTTGCAAGGGCTCGTGATAAATTGCAACAGCTTGTTGATTGGCGGAATGATTGTTTCATGGGCCGGCGACCAGGGCTTCCTCGCCGTGGCTGCGCGAGATAGATCACGAAGGGTGAAGCGGAAAGGGTGAGGGACAGGGCTCGAGAAACCAGGGGTTGCCCAAGTCCCGCTCCGGACGGGTGGAGGAAGAGCAGGGAAAAGGCATGATTGATGGGAATTGGGGACGACTTGGCAGGAACCCGCTGTAGCCGTGTGCCGTAGGATTTACATAAGAACGTTGTCTCTGATCTTTGCTCGATTGGACGGCGGATCTGGGAAATAAGCATTCGAGGTTACAGTGGCATTTGCGACTCCTAGCTGCTCGCGCTCGCAACAATGATGGCACGGAGAGTGTGATGATTGCGGGGAAGTTCATAACCACTCCAAAGCTCAAGGAAGCTTGCGAGAAGCTAAAGGCAGACAATTCAACCGAGGGGACTTTAGCTTAAGGTACTTTACTTTGGTGCTAACACCCTGCCGTTGTTTGGAGAACACAGGAAGTGCTCCTCTGGCGGGCTGTCGGCGGATTGTCCCCTCGGTCATCTTTATTGTCAAGGTGAGGGGATGACTAGTTGAGGAGATGAAGGGCTGACGGTGAAATTGGTCCGCAGGACAAAAGGAGACATTGCCGGGGGCAGTCCGCTGCAATATGCCCGAGTGAGCCAGGAAAGAGGAAGATTGTTCAGACGAACGGCAGACCTGTTGCCTACTTTAGCGTTCGCCATGGACATGAAAGCAAAAGACCAGACGAACCAGCGGCGGGCAAGGCGCTGTAAGTCCCGGAATCTCGGGGCATTC